GATTAGAGTCCGCGCTCCTAACCACTACACCAAATGGGCTCTCCAAAGCCGGCAATGCAGGGAGGCCATTTTAAGCCCCGCCCCCGGTTCTGTATGGCTTACCTCCCCCCATTCGTAGTGTGCGGGCAGCAGCATCTGGTTAAAAAGCTTGACCGTTGCTTTCACTGGAATTCCAGGGAAGAGCTCGTCGAAGTGTAGACTGCTCGACAGGAGGCACACGCGGGGTGTTTGGACTTCCGCAAACACAGGGATATGACTGGAAATAGCAATTAAAGTTGCTGTGGATCAAGTCTGTAGGGTAGCTGCATTAGTCTACCTCAGTAAAGCCGATAAGCATGTCAGACCCACATCAACAGAAAAGGATTGTGTCTGACTGAGATGATTGAGGTTTATAAGATTATGCATGGGATAGAGCAGGTAGAGAAAGAGGTCCTTTTCTCCCTTTCTCACAATACAAGAACTCGTGGGCACTCCATGAAATTGCTGAGCGGTCGGGTTAGAATGGATAAAAGGAAGTACTTCTTCACCCAAAGAGTGATTAACACATGGAATTCACTGCCACAGGAGGTGGTGGCGGCTACAAGCATGGACGGCTTCAAAAGGGAATTAGATAAGCATATGGAGCAGAGGTCCATCAGTGGCTATTAGCCACAAGGTATAGATAGGGGCTCTGGGGAAAGGGATGCTCTGTCTTCTTGGTGCTTGGTGCTGGGGGGGTCAACAGTGGGAGGGCTTCTAGTGTCCTGGCCCCACTGGTGGACCTCCTGATGGCACCTGGTATTTCTGGCCACTGTGTGCCAGAGTGTTGAACTGGATGGGCCATTGAACTGATCCAACATTGGCTTCTCTTATGTTCTTATGTAATGTACTGTCAACATCCACCAAGGTATAGACAGGAACTCTCAGTCTGGGGCAAGGGATGCTCTGTCTTCTTGGTGCTTGGGGGGGGTGGTCAACAGTGGGAGGGCTTCTAGTGTCCTGACCCAAGTGGTGGACCTCCTGATGGCACCTGGTATTTCTGGCCACTGTGTGACAGAGTGTTGGACGTCTCTTATGTTCTTATGTTGATGTGACAACAAGGGGCTGGTGGCTCAGCGCTGGAGCATCTGCTTGGCGTGCAGAAGGTCCCAGGTTCGACCCACAGCACCTCCAGTTAAAAAGACCAAGCAGTAGGTGATGGCAAAGCCCTCTGCCTGAGACCCTGGAGAGCTGCTGCCAGTCTGGGTGGACAATACAGACCTCGATGAACCAAGGGTCTGATTCAGGAGAAGGCAGCTTCATGCGCCTGTGATCTGGGCCTTTGCCCCTCCCACAGCAGCCCCCCACTTTGCCCCTCACTGTGTCCCACGGGCTCCACTGGTGCCTACCCCTGAAGGCACAATTTGGGGGGCAGGTGCGGCAGGCCGCACTGAGAGATGGGGGTTTAGGGTGGCAGTAGATTTCATGAATCACAACCCATTTAATCAGATTTATTAAGTTCATCAGGTTGGCAGATGCATAGATATCGTCGTCCGGGTTAGTGCCAGCTGTGAATCCCTGTAGAGCAGGGGTGTCAAACATGCGGCCCGGGGGCCAGATCAGGCCCCCGGAGGGCTTCTATCAGCCCCACAGTGGAACCGGCTGTCTTCTGCTGCTTCTTCCAGTTCTGCTGCTGCTGCGTCATCGTAGGTTTGCAGTGACAGATACACACCTGAACAGCAGACTCAAGATTGCAACAGCACAGACATTTTGATGCAATCATTCAGAGCAAGAGGTGTCAGTGATCAAACACTGTTCAATAAACAAAACATCGCAAGAGTGCTGATGTTTTAAGCATGTTTTTATTTTAAGTTTAAAAAAACCTTTGTGTTTGTGTCCTTTATAAAGTTTATATCTCCGCTACCTGGCATTACGTTTAATGACACACATGGCTTGGCCCAACAAGGTCTCACTTATGTCAGATCCAGCCCTCATAACAAATGGGTTCAACACCAGGCTGTAGAGCTTCTCTCGCATTTTATATTAAAAACACTACATCCTGCATTTCCTGATTCCATGGCCTTCTGATCACATATAAGCCATAACTACTCGGTTCATCTTGCTACGGGGCTTGCCGTTTCATCCCCTCAGCAGTTGGAAGAAATGCCCGTGAACATTCCATGACTTCACAGCCGCTCAACCAACCAGTGTCCCCATCACCAAATGCCCTAGCGGTGCGCAACCAAACTGCTGCAGTTATCAGGCTGTGGCATTTCTCACGGCGTTCCCATTTGCTATCCGAGAGACCACCAAGGGGGTGAGAAGTTCTTATCCTGCATTCTTCTTCCCCACTCTGAAATCCCAGACAGCCAGTGGGCAACTGGCTGAATGGAACGGGCTCGCTCCGTTTCATTGCCTCACCTTCCCTTCCCGTTTTCCACTTCCAGCTCTAACACGGTCTGAAGACTCTGACAGACGTAGGATCTGAACAAAACGGACACGGTGCAGCTGCCGAGGGGTCCCAGTTCTCCGCTAGGTGGTTCGATTGTGAATGGAGAGGCCTGCAGAGATGGAAGAGGGCAACCGGGATGGCGAGAGGGTTGGAATCCAAGTCTTACGAGGAAAGGCTGAAAGAGCTGGGTCTGTTTAGCATGGGAAAGAGAAGGCTTAGAGGGGACATGATTGCAGCCTTCGAATATCTGAAGGGCTGTCGTGTAGAAGATGGAGCAGATCTATTCTCTCTTGCTCCAGATTGCGAGACTAGATCTAATGGATGGAAATTACAAGGGAGTCGATACCGGCTAAATACCAGGAGGAACTTCCTAACTGTGAGAGTGGTTGAGCAGTGGAACAGTCTGCCTGGGGGGGGGGATGCTCCTTCGCTGGACGTTTTCAAGCGGAGGCTGGACGACCATCTTTCGGGTATGTTGTAGGGCTCTCTTTCGGCTATGCTCCTGCAGAGTGCAGGGGGTTGGACTACATGACCTGCAAGGTCCCTTCCAACTCTAACATTCTATGATTCTATGGGTTGGAACACTTTCCAACCCATAGAATAAAAGGGTTGGAACACTTTCCCTATGAGGAAAGGTTAAAGCACTTAGGGCTCTTTAGCTTGGAGAAAAGACGACTGAGGGGTGACATGATCGAGGTTTATAAGATTATGCATGGGAAAGAGCAGGTAGAGAAAGAGGCACTTTTCTCCCTTTCTCACAATGCAAGAACTCGTGGGCACTCCATGAAACTGCTGAGTGGTCGGGTTAGAACGGATAAAAGGAAGTCCTTCGTCACCCAAAGAGTGATGAACACATGGAATTCACTGCCATAGGAGGTGGTGGCGGCTACAAGCATGGATGGCTTCAAAAGGGAATTAGATAAGCATATGGAGCAGAGGTCCATCCGTGGCTATTAGCCACAAGGTATAGATAGGGACTCTGGGGCCAGTGATGCTCTGTCTTCTTGGTGCTTGGGGGGGGGAGCAACAGTGGGAGGGCTTCTGGTGTCCTGGCCCCACTGGTGGACCTCCTGATGGCACCTGGCATTTTTGGCCACTGTGTGATACAGAGTGTTGGACTAGATGGGCCTTTGGCCTAATCCAACATTGGAGTCTCTTATGTTCTTATGTTATGAAATCAAATCCACCACAGATGTGGACACAGATGTTTGGCGGAGAGCTTTCCCCCCCATGCTCAACTGACTCCTGATTTCCCTGTCAGTTGATTCACAAGCGCTGGAATCGGCTTGGGTGTGGCTCTCCTGGATGTGCCCACCCTCTGCATTTTCACAGTTGTGGAGTCAGTTTATTTTCTTCCCCACGTGCCTTAAATAATCAGGATTTTCAAGGGACGGTGCTGTTATCACCCCCCCCCTTTTAAAAAACCTGGTCCTAAAATATTAGTGAATTAATATACCATTATAACGACAGGTCAAGCCAGTTCTCTGAGTTCCAAGATTTCATTTCTTTAAAAAAATGTAAGTCCCTATTCTATTCCCTCAGGGAGATATACAGAAAAAGGCATATCTCCAGAAGTGAAAGGTCCAGAGACTTACTTTTTATTAAATGAAAGCTGGGGACTCAGAGAACCTGCTTGAGTTTGACCTACTATTACAACAGTCTATCGATAGAACAGAATTCTAGAACAGGTTTTTTAAAAAATTTAAAACAAAAGGGGTGGGTGGGAAGGAGAGGGAGTGATTTGCCAATGACGACAGTCCAATCCTCAACAAGTGGGCAGGAGGTGGGTGGGAGCGGGCAGGACACAGAAAACCAACAAAATTACACACAATGAAAAAGGCGACTCAAAACTGGCTTCCAGGAAAAGCTTGGTGTAAAAGTGGTCTCAAACCAAAGGGGGGGGGAATAGGGGGGGAATTTAAAAAGATGAAAACTAAAGTCACAAAAATGTGTGTAGAAATTAGGGGATAAACCAAAGCAGTATTGGGCCAGAACTGACCAAAATCCCATGCAGAAAAGCCATGTGAGAGTCCCACATGAAACTCACAGCTCAGCTCAGCCACCTGGTGACCCTGCTGGCTAGTCCAACAGATGATCCAGACTGAGAAACTCTTACAGCACCTCACCTCTTCGTTCCTTTCAGCAAGATTAGCAGGACATTCCTGCATTTTCCACCTTCCCGGCAGCTGGCTGAGGTTGGTTATCTCAAACTTGCACAAGACCACTTCTCCTAGCTTAACCAGGCCCAAATTGAGTGTCGGGACATCGACGGAGAGAAGAGGCCCCTGGGATGGGTGAACAAAACAAGCAGGCTGGTAATCGCACTGAGCACCCAACGGATAATGTTCTGCATGCTCACGTTTACTTAAAAACCCCACATCACGGCAGAGACGGGGATGGAGACCAATGCTCCCTCTAAGCTGTGGAGTCTTGTGAGCAAAAATTCTACTTTGTGTGCTACTGCCATTAAAGTTGTAAGCGAGCAATTTGGCTACCGCATAAATTAGTTTGGAGCCCTCCTTCCTGAGCTATAAGACAAAAATGTGTGAGCTGGGGGCTAAAAAACTCTGAGCTAGCTCACACTAACTCATCTTAGAAGAAGAAGAAGAAGAAGAGATTGGATTTATACCCCGCCCTTCACTACCCAAAGGAGTCTCAGAGCGGCTTACAAACTCCTTTCCCTTCCCCTCCCCACAACAGACACCCTGGGAGGTAGGTGGGACTGAGAGAGCTCTTGACAGAAACTGCTCTTTTTCAAGAACAGCTCTTACCAGAACTACGGCTTGCCCGAGGTTATCCAGCAGCTGCAAGTGGAGGAGTGGGGGAATCAAACCCGGTTCTCCCAGATTAGAGTCCACGCACTTAACCACTATACCAAACTGGCTAGAGGGAACACTGATTGGAGACTCGGCACCAGAAGTCTCTTCTGGCGGGCAGCCAGGCCAGATAAAAAATGGCAAGCATGAGGACTGTACTCAGTGGCGGAGGGCATGTTTTGCGTGCAGAATAACCTATGGGATTCACTTGCACGGGATGCAGAGACAGCTGCTAAGGGCAGCTTAAAAAGAAGACAATGCCAGTTCATGGAGTGTAGGGTCCATCCATGCTGATCAGCCATGGCCACAAAATGTGGTGACAACTTGGTCTCCATACCCTTGTTTGTCCACTGTCTGTAGTCGGCCGCAGCGGACTGGACTAGATGGAGCATTGGTTTGATCCGGCATGGCTGCTCTCAGTCCCCAGGTTCAGTCCCCAGTGACAAAGATTTTAAATAGCAAGGGTGAGGAGGAGAAGAACAGCCATGGGACCAAAGCAAGGTCTGGGTCCACTCCAGAAAGATCTCCTCCACCTGGAAGTCCGAGAGCCGTGCTAACTCACTCTGTGAATGCACAAGGCCTCGGATGCCCGACGGAGAGGCGATCACATCTCCAGCACCCGAAGGAGAGGTGATATTGTCCCTTTATGAGTTCCGAGTGGATTGCAGAGTCTCTCCTGGGAGTCGCAATTCATTCTGGCGCTTTGGCCGGGTGGAAAGGGTTCAGCCCCCGCCCGGCCACAACTTTTTGAAGCCTCGAATCGAACGGCACAGAAAAGCTAAAGCCACTTCACACACCTTAAAATCAGCTTCCACGTGTAAGATAACCGGCTCTGGGCAGCGGCTGACATTACAGGGCAGCTCATGAACGGAATGTCCAGGTTTCCCTCCAGTAATAATGAACTCAAACTCCTGGAATTCATTTGGCTCTAGGGGAAGACGAATGAGAAGAGAAAGTTTTTATACCCGGCTTTTCTCTACCCGAAGGAGTGGCTTCCAATCACCTTCCCTTCCTCACCACACAAAAGGCACCCTGCGAGGTAGGTCAGGCGGAGAGGGTTCAAGGTGGCCCAAGGTCACCCAGCAGGCTTCACGTGCCGGAGGAGAGGGGAATCAAACCCGGTTCTCCGGATTAGAGCCTGCCACTCTTAACCATTACACCACGCTCTCTGAAGATAGATAAATAAAACCAAAACGCTTCCACAAGCCCAATGGCATCAACTGAAGCACAAGCGGGCATTATTTTTATTTTTTTTTAAATTACAGTAGACTGTGACGTTATTCTGTGCGGGTTTTAGATGCAAGAGACAGAAGAATACTTTACCTAACTCTCCCGTATAAGGTACAACTTCAATTATGTCACAGTCGCTGGTCTTCCCCCATGCAAACGTGACTGATGACTTGCTGTTGTTATGCATCTGGAAAAAGTCCAACGTAAGAGCTGCAATGAGCCACAAATCCTGACTTCCGGTTTACTGCAAATCCTGACTTCCGGTTTACTGCAAATCCCGACTTCCGGTATACTGCAAATCCCGACTTCCGGTTTACTGCAAATCCTGACCTCCGGTTTACTGCAAATCCCGACTTCCGGTTTACTGCAAATCCCGACTTCTGTTTTTCTGCAAATCCTGACTTCCGGTTTTACTGCAAATCCTGACTTCCGGTTTACCGGCTAAACCACTGAATATGATGGACAGTGCAATCTCATGCAGAGTTATTCCAGTCCAAACCCACTTAAATTAATGCACAGAGAGAACCAAATCTTAAGCAGCTAAATTCGAGTCCGGTGGCATCTTAGAGTCCAGCAAGATTTTCAGAGGACGAGCTTTTGAGAGTCAAGGGGCTCATCTGCATTCTTATTTCCTTTGTCTGTGTGTCCCTATTGCTTCGAGGGTTTTTCCCCCTTTACACACGGGTTTTGCTCCCTCTAGTGGTCGATTTGATATTATATCGCTGTATGTCCAGCGTAAAAACCTGCAGGTTTGTCTCATATCTCTGTATATTATATTGCTATATGTCCAGGGTAAAGTACTTTTCTTCCTTTCTCATAATACAAGAACTCGTGGGCACTCCATGAAATTGCTGAGCATTCGGGTTAGAACAGATAAAAGGAAGTACTTCTTCACCCAAAGAGTGATTTAACAGATGGAATTCACTGCCACGGGAGGTGGTGGTGCCTACAAGCATGGACGGCTTCAAGAGGGAATTAGATAAGCATATGGAGCAGAAGTCCATCAGTGGCCATTAGCCACAAGATATAGAGAGGAACTCTCAGGCTGGGGCAAGTGATGCACTGCATTCTTGGTGCTGGGGGGGGCAACAGTGGGAGGGCTTCTAGTGTCCTGGCCCCACTGCTGGACCTCCTGATGGCACCTGGAATTTTTGGCCACTGTGTGACAGTGTCGGACTAGATGGGCCATTTGGCCTGATCCAACATTGGCTTCTCTTATGTTCTTATGTAAAAACCCACAGATTTAAACGGGAAGTTTTTATGCTGGACATACAGTGATGTAATATCAAATCGGCCACTAGAGGGAGTAACACAAGTGTAGAAAAGAACCCCCCTTTCCCCCAGCAATGGGGACACACAAAGAAAATGTGAATGTGGAAGAGCTCAAAGTTCCCATATCTGACGAAGGGAGCTTTGATTCTTGAAAGCTCATAAAATCCTGTTGGTGTTAATTATTCTTTGGGGCTTTTGCAGGGTGACACCACAAATCGGTACCTGACGAGTGTGTGAAAGCCACCGTGGCACCGTGGCACCGAATACATGTAGCCCCCAAATGCACCAACCGCCAGGGCAGGAGGGTACCCACCCGAAAGCTTCTCCTGATATTCACGCCAATGTAGTGCTCTCCCGGGATGATGATGGAGTAGGGGTCTAAAAGGAGCTGGAAGGGCTCCGTCTGCCCCTTCACATCGATCTCCACGGCAATCACGTCCTCTTCTCGGATTTCTCCGTACTCCTGACGTTCCTTATGTTTCTGCAGACTGTGCAAAGGAAGGGGTTAGAAGCATTACTTACGATAAGCTGTACGCAGCAGTAGAGACCAAAGTCCTTAATCATTTATCCAAACAAGTTGCTAAGACTGTTTTGTGCAGTGCCACTCGATTCTCTAAGCAGAAAAGCCCTATTTTATTTTTTTTGCATTTTTCTTATGTGCCTGCGTGTGAGTGTGTGTGCACCTGGAAGTCATGGCGGCCCCTGGTGTCTGACCCCTACTGGGGGCCTGGAGGATATTCAGAGAGGTGGCCGAATAAAGCCTGCCCCCGCCTCCCGTCTCTGGTATTCCAAGGAGGTCTCCCATCCGAGTACTCGCCAGAGTCGACCCCGCTTAGCTTCTGAGATCTGCCGAGATCGGGCCTGCCTGGGCGATCCAGGTCAAGGCGGCAGAAAGACCCCCTCCTGACTTCCTGGGGCAGACCGTTCCACGAGGTGGGAGCTGCGATGGAGAAAGCTCGCGTCGTGGATTCTGCCCACTTTCCGGTTGGCACCTGCAGAAGCCCCTGCGGAGTCCTGAGCAAAGCCGTTGGGGCAGAGCACGGGGAGAGAGGCGGTCTCGCAAACAAGGAGGACCAAGGCTGAAAAGGGCTTTGTAGGTGATAGCCAATACCTTAAACCAGGCGGCTTTTTTGTAGAAAAAGCCCAGCAGGAACTCATTAGCATAACAGGCCACACCCAACAGCAGACACTCATTAGCATATTAGGCCACACCCCCAGACAGCGCAGCTCATTAGCCCATTAGGCCGCACCCCCATGTTACCAAAAGTGTGGTCATCCAGCCACGCCCACCTTTTGCTTCTTATTCTGTTTACCTTGTTTGTTGTCAAAACCCAGGGCCTTTTTTGTAGCAGGAGCTCCTTTGCATGTTAGGCCACACACCCCTAATGTAGCCAATCCTAATGAGTTCCTGCTGTTGGGTGTGGCCTATTATGCTAATGAGTTACTGCTGGGCGTGGCCAACTCGGGAGCCAGCCGGAACTCCGTTCCTGTGCGTTCCTGCCCAAAAATAGCCCTGCTGCCTTTCCTCCCTGGATCAGCTTGGCTTCCCCAGGCGCCCTGCGGCTTGTGAGGCGCCTAGGGAACCCGAGGGGGGGGGGGGCTGTAGGCGCGGCCAACTCGGAAGCCAGCCGGAACTGCGTTCCTCTGCGTTCCTGCCCCAAAATAGCCCTGCCTTAAACTGACCCCGGGAACAAACGGGCAGCCCTTGGAGTGTCTGCAGAAAGGGAGTAATGAAGTATTGTGCCAATATGTCGTCGCGGGAGGCCATGGATAAGGTTCCTTCCCGATAGGCTGAGGATTGTCCCGGGGACTTCGTCGTCATGTGAGCCTCAGATACTCCCTCTGAAATGTGCCCGTCTCCTGGGCTGAGCGCGGCTGGGAAAGCGAGGCCTTTCTTTTCTCCTCCGCTCGTCTGTGGAGGAAGGAAGGGGCAGGTCTTCCCTGGGCCTCCCGTGAGTTCATAGCAGCCATGGAGACCCCCTCTGGAGAGCCAGCTTGGTGTCGTGGTTAGGAGCGCAGACTCTCACCTGAGAGAACCGGGTTCGATTCCCCGCTCCTCCACATGCAGCTGCTGGTGTGACCCTGGGTCAGTCACAAGTTCTCTCAGAGCTGTTCTCTCAAGAGCAATTCTCTCTCTCTCTCAGCCCCGCCTACCTCACAGGGCATCTGTTGTGGGGAGGGGAAGGGAAAGGAGACGGTAAGCCGCTCTGAGATTCCTTCGGGTAGCAGAGGGCGGGGTACCAATCCCATCTCTTCTTCTCTTCTCCTCCCTGTTCAGGTCCGTGGCTAGGGGGGTATCTTTTTTTTTAATGTCCCCCCCAGGCCCGTAGCCAGGATTTTTTAAGTCGGGGGGGGGGGGAATTTAAATTTTTTAGGGGGCACTGGCTAATCAAATTAATCTGGGGGAGAAGGCTGTGGCACCCTGGGCCAGATGGGGAGTCAGGGGGCCTTGCCAGGGAGTCGAGGGGCCTAGCCCCGAGATGCCCCGCTGTTGCTACGGGCCTCCCCCACCCCAGTGGGCTACTTTCCCCACTCGATTCATTCCCTTGAGTTGTGCCCAGGCAAGGAGCAAACCTTGCAGGATTCACAGGAGGCAGACCGCCGTCGTCCGGACGCAGGCCTCCTCTCCAGCACAACGCAGCACCGATGGTGCCGCTGCAAGAGAGGTGCTTTCAGCTGCCGATCAGAAGCCCTCCGTGCTTTCCTGCTTACCTAGGTGGTTCTGGGATGCTCTCCAGCACAATCTGAAGCACGCTGTGATATGCCTTCAGCTGCAAAAAAAACCCAAGGAAGCTAATTGTTAATTGTGCTGGTTAAGACGCTGAACTGCAGGCTGTGGAAGGTCAGTAGTTCAGCAGTTCGAGACCCTGCCGCAAGACGGAGTGAGCTCCCGTCTCTAGTTCCAGCTCCTGCCAACCTAGCAGTTCGAAAGCAAGACATTGCAAGTAGAGAAATAGGTACCACTTCAGTGGGAAGGTAACAGCGTTCTGTGAGCCTTGGTGTTTAGTCATGCCGGCCATATGACCACGGAAACGTCTTCGGACAGCGCTGGCTCTTCGGCTTTGAAACGGAGATGAGCTCCGCAACCCTAGAGTCGGATTCGACTGGCTTTCGAGCAAGGGAAACCTTTACCTTTACTTTACATGGGGAAGAAAAATAACTCTTTCTAGTCAGTTCATTGCTGAAATTGAGAACATCCTGCACGGGGTTGCCCTAGATAAACGCTCTTCTTGGGGTGAAGTGGCTTATCTCTGCAGCTGAGAGATATTTCACATGTTACACCGAGGCAAACCTAGGTTCACTGCTGAATGAACGCGCAGCACAAGAGATGCAGCCAGCCAGTCACACACAGCTCCTTGGAAAAGGGCACCTATGGGATATTAGAGCTATGCTAAACTTCATTCCCTGCCATTTTGTGGTTGGCTCCACCTCCGGTGGCAGCCATTTTGTGGCTGGCTCCGCCTCCAGTGGTGGCCATTTTGTGGTTGGCTCCGCCTCCAGCAGCAGCTGTTTGATGGCCGGCTTTGCCTGCTGCAGCAGCCGTTTGGTCGCTGGCTCTCCTTGTTGAGGCAGCAATTTGGTGGGTGCACCCCACCACCGTGTCGGCATTGGCTGGCTCCGCCTCCAGTGGTGGCCATTTTGTGGTTGGCTCCGCCTCCAGCAGCAGCTGTTTGATGGCCGGCTTTGCCTGCTGCAGCAGCCGTTTGGTCGCTGGCTCTCCTTGTTGAGGCAGCAATTTGGTGGGTGCACCCCACCACCGTGTCG